CACGGATGGGAGTAATCAGGGAGGGCTTCTCTGAGGAGGTGCCGCCCAGCTGGGCCTGCGGGGCCCAGAGCAGAAGGAAGGGAACAGTTTGTCCCCGGCCTTGAATTGGAAATGGTACAACAGCTCAAAACAGCCCAGAGAAGGCTGCAGTGGCTGGAGGGGGTGCGGGTGGGCTGTGGGTGGGAACCGTGGCAGGGGTCCGTCCCCCTGGCTGCCTGGGCCTCCTCAGTCCCCCGCCACTGCCTTTCCTCCCCTGGTCTCTTGTCCCCAAGCCCCAGAGGCCTGCCCCCGCCCCCAGAGGGGCTCCAGGCACTGGGGGGCAGGGCTGGTGGATGACAAGGTTACACGTGCCCCTTTTCTCTGGGAGCAGCATAAAGAGCTCTTTCTTTCCTGCTTATTAATAGCTCTGATTAAATTATCTCTGAGCAACCTGCGTGGTGTGCACCAATGGGGCCGGCTCCCTCCAGGCTCTGGCCTAGATTACCAGGGCAGGTGAGGTGACGGGGGCGGGGGGAGGCTGGGCCAGGTCTGTCCCCCACCAGGAGCAAGCCCCGGCTCTCTTGGCTCTCCTGAGACCCTGCTCAGCCTCGGAGCCCCGACCCTCTGCTCTTGGGAACCTCTCTGGGTCCCTCCGTTGGAGTGCCAGGCCTTTGAAGGGGCAGGTCCCCTGCCGGGGACACACCTCTTTCCCCACATCACCTGTCTTCTGCTGGGTTGGGTCCCTGAATGACCCCTGGTTAGTCTCCTTGTCTACGTCCCCATGACACTGAAGTTCCGTAAGACCTCTTTTTTGGACCAGGTCACTGTAGAATCCCCCGTGTCTGACACCAAGTGGTTTCTTAGGAAATACATGGATAAAGGAATAAGCAGGCGTGGTTGGGCAGTGCCAGGCCTCCCTAGGTGGGAGGGCGGGAAGCCAGGCGCCAGACACCCCCCCCCCCCAGAGCCGTGCCTATGTGGCAATCAAGCCTGCTTCACCGATGGGGGAAACTGGGCACAGAGAGGGGGAGTCACACGGCTGGTGACCCAGGCCATCTATTCCACTCCCTCCTCTTCTTCATGTTCCTCCTCTGGAAGGAAAGAAGGTGGTGGTCAGGGAAGGCTTCCCAGAGGAAGCGGAGCCCTCGTCGCAATCTGAGGGAGGCGCCTCCTAGACGGTGGGTGGGAACCCCTGTGCAAAGTGCCAGAGTCACACGGAAGCCTGGGTAGATGTTTTGGCAAGGTTGGTGTTGGGGCACCAGGTGACGTCCTTCCTATCCTTCTCGGGCCTCTTGACCCCTGTTGGAGTCAGTGATCAGGCTGCTTCATGGACTGTGGCAGATGCACATTAACAGTCTCCAACCACATAATGCAGAAGTACTTTTTTTTTTTTGGCACTCGACCACCGAGCCCCATCCCCAGCCCTATTTGGTATTTTATTTAGAGACAGGGTCTCACTGAGCTGCTTAGGGCCTCACTGTTGCTGAGGCTGGATTTGAACTTGGGATCCTCCTGCCTCAGCCTCCTGAGCTGCTGGGATGACAGGTGTGCGTCACCACGCCCAGCAATGCAGAATTACTGGACATAATCAAGAGCAAAGGCATGAGGCCCTAACCTCAGGGAGGCAGGTGTATTGGGGGGCTGTGAATGTGTGTTTGGGGGGGCATAAATGTCGGCCCATGGTGGAGCCTCTTCTGGTGCATCCACTTGCCTGGGGGCTGGGGGAGGCAACTGGAAGACACCTCTCTACCCAGGTAGCTACCTTCCAGCTAAAATCCCACCATTAGCACAAAATGGACTCCCCAATCTTCAGAGAAGGGGGTCCTTCCAGATCTTGGGAATACCTGGTTGTCAGCCCTGTCTACACTTTGAAATCTTGGGGAGACTTTTGGAAACGACTGACCCACCCCCCAGAAAGGCTGATAAGCAAACTGAAGTTCAGAAAAGAGGAGAATCTTGTCCTCTTAGTGGCTGTCACGGGATGCAATAAATCAAGGTCCGGGGAACTGGTGTTTGGGATCCAGTTCTGTCATTGTGTGACCTTGGGCAAATCAGGTGGCCTTCTTCTGATATGTGACTAATAATCTAACGTCCCTTACAAGTTTGCTGCGAGAGTCAAAGGAGACGGGAGTGTGTTACGTAAATAGCACGGAACACACACTCAGCACCTAGTGTGTCTGTCAAGTCATAGTGACCTACAACAGGAAAAAAAAAATCCCAAACTTTGGAAAGACGAGGGTGAGGCCCTTCAGGCTCTTTTTCTTTCCAGGTTTTGGTTGACAGTGTCCCTCCTCCTCCTCCTGTCCCCAGCTTGAATCGGGTCCCCCTACCTGTCCACGCCCTGGGTCCACCCAGCCAGTTGCCAGGCAACCGGCCCTGACGTCAAGGCAGCTCTGGCAGGTGTCCGGGACCTGGAGCCGCTGGAGGTCGGATCACATTTCCAGGTAAATCCCCGCCCCCAACCCCTGCCCGCACTGAGGGTGGCCAGGGTGGGGGGGTGGGGGGCGGCCGCGGAGAAATAGAGCAGGGCACGGGGCCAGGAGCTGGAAACCGCATGCGTGGCGGCTCCTGGCCTAGATAAGGTGGTGGGTGGCCTACTTGGGCCGGCCTCCGAGGTCCCTGGCGGGTTCTAGGCAGGTGCGGGATGAGTCCTGAAAGTAGGCTAGGGCCCCATTGTAATCAGCACGTCCTGCTGGATACACTCCCTGGCCCTCCAAAATGGAAGATCCCTGCTGGCATTTATTAAGCACTTCTAGTGTCCTTTGCATGCAATAATTCATTTCGACTTCACCACAAGTTTATACGGTGAGAATTAAGATATCCTATCGCCCCCCCCCCCCCATTTTGCAGACAAGAAACGGAGACACGGAGCCATGAAGATAAATGGTCCAAGCTGACAGCTAGAATGGGCAGGGCTTGAATCCCACTCGGGTTCTGTGGTACTCTGCCGAGCGTCACCCCTGCCCCCAACTTGCTGGTGTGGTGGAGACTTAGCAACCCATAGATCTGCCCCTCCCAGGACTCAGTTTCTCCATCTGTAAGTGGGAGTCAGTTTTATACAGGCCATGCGTAGCTATCAGGCAGACCAGGTCAGGACTTACGCAGCCACTTAGAAAGTGAAAACCACTGCAGAGTTTGACAGACCCAAATTTGGACCTCAGGTTGACGTGACTCTGTGCTTTGGTTTCCTAGTCTGTCAAGTGAAAGAGAATACCAGGGCCCTACCAAGGTGATGGCACACATCCATAGCTCAGGCACCAGAGGGGCTGAGGCAGAATGGATGGCTTGAGCCCCGTATGCAGCTTGAGAACAGCCTGGGCACCAAAGCAAAACTCCCTCTCAAAAAATGCAAAGAAAGAAAAGAGCAAAGAGTACAAAAAGAAAATAATCCAGGATGCATAGTTTATAAAGAGCTGAGCTCTTTAGCTCAGCTCACTGCATATTGTGTATGCAGTTAATGCTCCACAGACCTCAGCTCTGAGGCCAAAAATCCAACACTGCTCAAATTGTGCCCTGATAAAAAAACATTTAAGGACACTTTGCATCTCATGACCTCAGTTTCTTCTATAAGTTGGGAGTATGATCACAATGCCTACCATATCAGTTTTCTCATCTGTAAAATGGGCGTGGTAATACCTATCTCAGACGATTGTGAGGAATAAGTATGTATCGTGCTATGTAAGTGTGGTAGTTACTGTTACTGATTGATATTAGTGTCAGTGCTGGGGATTGAACCCAGGACCTTGCCCACCTATGCTGTACCATTGAGCTACCCTCCTGAGACTTTTTGTGATTATTTTTAACACATTCCTCATAGGGTTGTTCCCAAGGTTAAATTAAACAATGCAGATAATGTACTTAGCATAGAGTCTTGCCTCAAATATGAGCTCTATAAATGGTAATTAGTTTTTCCATGCCGGGTTCCTTGACAAAGGGACTACAAGTACCAGCATGCCCTGAGCCCCTAGTCGGGTCCCCTCCACCCAGTGTTAGCGCGCTGCACGCCGGGAGTTGCAGTCCTCGAGAGGCAGGTCCCGCCTTGTCCTAGCTTGGGGGAGGAGGTTGGAGAGCCGCCCTGCCGGCCTTTGAATTTTGCCGCGAAAAGCGCGCGTGGCGCCCCTCGGCCCCGCCCCCTGGAGGACGCTGCGCCGCGTCACCGTGGTAACCGCCTCTTGGCCCCTGCTGATTGGGCTGGGATGCGGGGGGCGGGTCGGGGGCTAGACGCTGCGGCGGCCGCCGGCGCTCGCGCCTGTCAGTCGGGCCAGAGCGGAGCAGCGGGCAGCAGTACCGGGCCGGCACCTCCGCCGAGAGGCTGCGCGCGCCGGCCGGGGAAGGCGGAGAGCCGGGCCCGCCGCCTGCGGGGCGCGGCGCGCGGCACCCGGCCCTGAAGCAAGGCGAGACGCCCGCGCGCACCAGGCGGCGCGAGGCTGCGGCCCCGGGAGCCCCCGCGCGGCGCCCCGGGCCATGGGCGCGTGAGAACCCGGCGCGCGCCGCCCCTGCTGCAGTTCGCGAGCTCGCACGCTCGCTGCAGAGTCCCCCGGGCCGTCTCCGCTTCCGCCCTGCGCCACCTGGACTTGCTATTCCTTGGCGCCGAGGCCCCTGAGGCTGCATCCGAGCCTCCGACACCGGCTGCCGCCCGCCACCGCTGCTCGCCGGCTTCCCCTCCCCCCACACCCGGGGCCGGGAGCCGGAGGAGGAGGGGCCCGTGCATTCTCGCCGCTGCTCTTTGCAACCTGCGGGGGCCGGTGCATGTCTGGCGAGGAACCGGGGCCGCTGCAGGTGCGTGCAATCCCGGGAGGAGACGACCCCACCCCCACCCCCCGGCGAACCCGGGGGCTGCGAGCGGCGGGCGGGCGGGCGAGCGAGAGGAAGCAACAAAGACAGGCTGCAGCTGGGGCTGGCGAGAGGGGCCGCGGCCGCCCGGCTCCCTGCGCGGACGGAGAGGGCGCCCTGGGAGCGGCGCGGGGCGAGCTGCAGAGGTGAGCGGGGCCCCGAGGGGAGGCGCAGCGCCTCCCGCCGGACGCGGCGAGCACAGACTCCGGCGAGGATGCGCAGCCTGAGCGCCCTTGCGGCCCGGGTCCCGGGCGAAAGCGACCCTCGCTGAGCAGAGAACCTCCCAGCCCCGACTTCGGACGGCGCACTCCGGAGTCTGGATAGCTCTCACCGACAGCGTCCCTTCCCACCCGGAGAGAAGCATCGGCTCCCGAGCGGGGCTTCCTCGGGCAGCCTCTGCCACCTCTGCATGGCTGCAACCTGTCGAGTGGAGCGTAGAGGCCGCTGAGACCGGGTGCCCTACGACCCCCTGGCTGATCGGGTGAGTTGCGAGGGGCCGGATTCCGGGCTAGAGCTGGGGGCTCCTCTTGGTATCAGGGCAGCCCGACTAGACCTAAAGGAGACCTATATTGTTGGGGGCGCTGCGCCCCTTGCCTGTCCCTTTCCCTTCCACCCACAACTTGTTTGGACTGGTCAGCTGACTTGAGTGGAGGCTGGGGTCCCCTGGTGTCCCCCGGGACTAAGGTAGTGCAGATGCCAGAGAGGAAAGGTCACTCCACCCATAAAGCTAACAGACAAAGGTAGTGGCTCCAACGTCTGAAAATTCCTGGGGAACTCCCGCGTCTTGGAGGAAATGAGGGGGCACCCAGGTTGGGACAACATTGAGGGTCTCCACAGCATCATCTGAGATCTTAAAAGGGAGGATCAGAAGGGAGGTATGAGGTCCTGGCCACGGTGGCTACATAGAAGATTTTGCCCTCTGTGGACGGACAGTAGGGTTCCCACCATTCTGGCAAGTGTTCCAATAAATAACTTGCAGAGAGACCTGGTGTTCAGTGGCCCTGGGAGGGAGACGTCACTGCCCAGCCTCTGATGTCACTGGAGTGGTCATGGCAATGAGACTTGCCTTGACCCAAGGCTGGAGGAAGCAGGGCCAGATGCCTTTGGGTAGTGGAGAGGTAAAGGGTGACTCCCCCATCCTAGCAGTCTTTTGACCTAAATCCCCAGCCACCACATGAAGTGGGGGAGGGAGACCGTGCCAGCTGTCCCTGCTGATGCTCCTCCCTCCAAGGACAGGTATTTAGAACTTTGCCCATGTAGACTGGCAGTGCCTGGGGGTTTGGGACTCCCAGATAGAATAACTTCTGCTTTCAAAGAAGATGCTGAAGAGGAGGCCTCCCTGAACCCCACCATATACCTAGCCAGCAGGCTAAAGCTCCCGGGGTCCCTAGAGAGATGCGGGCCCTCAGCCTTCCAACAGGCCACTTCCGCTCAGGAAAATGTGAATGCCTGCTCCCAGCCAGGGAAGGTGCAGAGGAGCCGCTGCCTGCCATGCTCCAAGGCCAGGGGATCCCCTGCTGTCCAACCCCAAGGGAAAGGGCTTGGCCCAGCCTGTCCCACGCTCCCTTTGGTGTTTAAGATGATTTTGACAAGCCTAGTGTGATTGATGCTCATTACGTGAACGGAGGGCAAGTCAGTGTTAAGGTCTGAATCTGTCTCGGCCAGGGCCAATGATGAGCAGAGGGCACCCACCTGTTTTCCCCTCCCCCCCCCACTGGCCCTGTAGTTTGCAAAGACCTGGAGAACCCCCAGCCAGCTTCCTGCTGGGGGCTCTGAGATTCTCCCGTGTCCCTTCCCTCCCATGACCCACTGCCAGCGTCGGCTGTGGGCGCAACTGCTGTGACCACATTTCTAGGAAAAGGTTTGAAAACCGTGTCATTGCTTCAGCGGTGTGGGGCGGGGTGAGAGCCCAGAAGGGTATGTGGGGGGCCATTCTTAGAAGCGAGGCCCCTGTCTCTGTGCAGTGAGCATTTCCCCTGCTCTCCTACCAGACTCTCTGGCCAGATTAACAGGTCTAATAAATACTGGCGGAACTGCTTTGGGGGGCTTGGCAGGGAGATGGTATTTCCAGCTGAAATGGTGTCGTTAAACACACAAGCTTCAGAGGACAGAGGAGCAATAGCAGATTGGGGGAGATGTGGGCAGAAGGGCTGTTTGCACTGCCTCTCGACGCTTCCCAGTTTAGAAACAAACTCAGAGTGTGCGCCAGAGATCCACAAACAGGCAGTTGGAGGCCCTCCGTCGAGTATTTACACTTCCTCAGCCAAGGCGGAGGGAAGGGCTGTCAGAATTGGGCAATTCCTTCTGTTCCCTTCCCTTGGCTCCCTGGGCTTGGCAGTCGGTGCCAGACGAGGAACGGGGTGGGGAGTACCGGCTTCTCCGGAGTCTCCCTGTGGGCCAGGCATTTTGCTCCAGGATCTCCTTGAAGTGGCTTATGAGCTATGGCCCATTTGATAGATGAGGAAACTAAGGCTCAAATCAAGAAAGGGATGGTCTACAGGTGCTCAGCCAGGTAGCTGCAGAGGTTTGGCCCTGAATTGCCCTGGCTCCAGATCTCCAGGACCTCCCCGCCCTCTTGCATGGGTCCAGGGGAGCTTCCCCTGCTTGCTGGAAAGGGGTCCGTGCAAGAATTAGGAGCTCTTGGTAATGGAGGGAGGCTGGCTCCACCAGGATGCCTTGTCCACACCAAAACCCAGGTTTCAATCCTGGTTCCCCCTAACCTGCAGGCCAGTGTTGGGCAGAATGGCAGCTTATGCCCTGGGCCTTGTAGGTGGCCTGGCTCCCTAACCCCCCCGGAGCCCTCTCCAGCCCTGGGTGGTGAGGCCACCCTCAGCCATCGCAGGGACCCTGTTGGTGGGTGGAGCCGGTGGGGAGGCAGGGATGCAGACAGCAGGGACACCTAGCACAAGAGTGGGAGGGGCCCCGTGGAGTGGGTGCCATATGAGTCTCCAAAAGGACCCCTAGGGCTGCTCCAGTCAGTGGGACGGGCTGGGAGCAGCGAGATGCCTGTGGGCCCTGAGCCTGCTGAGCTCAGTGGGGGACCTGGTGGCCAGGAGGTGTGTCCTGGAGCTCGGGTCACAGGGGAGGTTTAAGCAGGGAAGGCTCCCTCCACAGGGACCGTCATCCTGGACATCCTTTGGGTCAGAAAGGGAGCTCTCCTTGGTCCTCTGGGCAATCTCCTCTCAAGGTTGGCTTCCCATCCCGTCCCCAGTAATCCTTCTCACTTGGCTAATTCCACATAAGCGCCTCCATGGTCCTCTGAGCCTCCGGGTTGCTCTGGACCAGGACCTGAACTGGGCCAGGCCCGTTTGCTTACACCCCTTGTAGAGAAACCTGAGGCTCCCTGGTGAGCAGTGGCTCCCAGGAACTGTGCCCTGCACTTGCTGACTGTGTGACCTTGGGTGAGTAGCATTGCCTCTGAGTTCGTTTCCTCTTCGGTGAGCAGCAGCTGCTAACAGCACCCACTGCGGAGGGTCATGATGAGGATTCAACTGAGGGCTTAGTACAGGCCGCAGCATGCAGCAAGCGCTCCATAAATGCACAGCCTTATGGCTCCTCTTAGCTTTATCCTCAGAACAGGGCCTTGCATGACTCTCCCAGTGAAAGGTGGTAGGCTTCAGCCCAAGGCAGGCACCTACCTTCCCTTCTGGCCTGCTCTGCACCAGGGCACCTCAAATCACCCGGGGGGGCCCCCACGTGGTGCGCACACGTGGCTCCCATCTGAGTTCTGGCCGGGCTGGGGCCCAGCCGGGACCTCCCCAGGCTCCCCTGCCTCCCTTCCCTCCCAGCCAGGAGGCGAGCTAGCAGCTCATATTCATGAACCGTAATTCAATCAGGCGGCGACTCCTCTGGGCCCGGGCGGGGGTGAGAACGAGGAGGCGCACAAAAGGGCCGCTTTATTACCTCCCGCGGGCCCGGGAATTGCGGCTCTCCCCCGGCAGCGGCCGGAGCCGCCTTTATTGTGTTAACCCATTTGCGTGTCAAGAGCTATTGTGCGCTTTCCCCGCCTGTGCGGGCGCCAGGGAGGAGGGCTGCGTGGCTCTGCCGGCCGGTCACCTCCGCGGGCGCCGCCCGCCGCCCTGATTGGTTGCTAAGTGATTTGCATCCAAGGTAATCACTTTTATCTCAGAAGGATGTCGACTATAATTATAAGCTACTGACATCTTTTGAAATCTGCCTAATGACTATTTTAGTCTGCCCGGGCTGGGGGTGGGGAGGCGGGTTCCGAGGGGGAGGGGGATGCTGAGAAGGGGGGGATGGATTCCTTCCACCTGGACCATTGGTTCCCCAGTTGCCAGAGACATCTGAGGGCCTCGAACAAAAGGCCAGGAGGCTGAAGGGGAGCTGGCATTCCTGTGGGCGGAGTTAGTGCCATTTTAGAGATGGGGAAGTGGAGGCCTTGGGACGGAGTCACCTGCCAAGAAGACACAGCCCTGACCCATAGGTACCTACCTCATGGGCTGCTCTCTTAGTTGGGGAGCAGACGGGAATAATGTGATGGTGCCTGGGTAGAGGGCAGTGGTCGGGTACCTTCCAGGGTGTTGGTATCCCCGTTTTCCTAGGGAGGAAATGGGCACAGGGTAGGCATGTCACTGCCCAAGGTCACACAGCCAGCAGAATGAGGTCAGGGTAGAAGGGGTGGCATGGGCAGCTCCCTGGCCTCTCTCCTGCTTCCTGTTGTCCAGCCCGGCCACAGTACCCAGGTGCTGGCCATGGTCAGGTGGCAAAGCTCTGAGGGCCCACAGCCTCCCCGCAGCCAGCTGGGACCCTGGGCAGAACTGGTGTGGGGCTGGGAGGAGGGGAGACTGGCCGTCGAGGGCTCCTCACTGAGGGGCTGGTACTCTGGGTTCTGAGGACTGAGTGGATTTGCCCCTATGGGATGGATGAGGAAAGTCAGGGGAGCTTATCAAAGGGCAGAGGTCAAAAGGGTGATGAGCCAGGAGGAACTGGGGGTCTTGAGTGCCAAGCTCAGGAGCCAATGGGGTCCAGAGGAGGAGGAGGAGGACACCTCTCAGAGGCCAGGCGGATAAGGTGTGCTGGGAAAAGGGCTGCCCTATGCCTGGGTGCTGGGTGCTGTAGAGTCAGCAGGGGGCTTGGAACGCTCTCAGACCTGGGCTCCCACGCTGTTGCTGCCTGTGTGTCCTCAGACAAGTTACCTCACCTCTCTGGTCCCTGGTTTCCTCGCTTGTTGAAGAGGGTGATTGCAGTTGCCTTATGGGTTTCTAGATAGGAAGACCTTGTGTGTCTAGTTCCTTTGAGCTCTGGGAACAGAGGGACAGAGAGGAGGGAGGGGCTCAGCAAGCTGGGTGACATGGGCTCAGACAGAGGCCCTGGCCATCCCCCTGGCCCCACAGCAAGTCACTGTTCCAGCTGCAGCAGCTGTTTGGGGCCCTGGGAGCCCCTGCTATTGTGCAGAGAGCACAGGGGACAAAGGCCTGGGAGGTCAGGGGGCCAGGCCATAGCTGGCTGTGAACAGGCTCC